CTTTCTCCTGTGACATTCCGAGGCTCTCTGTCCCTCGGGAAAAACGGATCACTTCCTTTATACTGGTTGTAGCTTGGGACATGTAGTGAAGGCAAGATGAGCAGTCTGATGGAATGGACTTGTGTTGAAGGGTAGAGCGGATGCTGCTGCATCATGACACTTGGGAAAGGGCTGCCAATCTCCTTGACGTGAGTCAGCACATGACTGCAGCCTGCAGATTTCCTTAGTCATCCCAAATAGAGCCTTTCCCATGAACCCCATCTTCCAGACATTGCACACATTGGTGTGTGCTCTGCATGGGAGGGAGGTCCCACAAGTAGATCCCTGCTTCATGCGGAAGCAATTCCAGACAACTTGCTTGTAAGGACTTTTTTCACAATAGACTTAGGCTACTGTGTTTTTTTGACCTATTTCCTGTATACATCTTTCAGTGTGTGGAAATGTATACAGCCTGAGTGGTAAACCAGCTCCCTTACTGTTATGAGCCAGTTGTCTGCTCTCTGAGATGTTTCTGTAGGGCGCTAGCTGAGTAGTATAAATCTCTACACTGATTTCCAGAGTGGGTGCAAACATCTTTCATAGCCATGAGATTATCGTCTTGTTGCTCTTCAGCTGCATGTATCAATGGTGGGATGAGATGCATATGTGGATGAAAATTGAGATGCATATGTGGATGAAAATATACAGGGGAGAGCAGTTAAGGCTAGCATTTAGAGTGGAATTCAGCTTACCTGACTTGGACGCCTAAAGATGGTAGGTTGGATTTTAAACACCATCCATCATAATTACAGGCATCTGAGATGCCTCAGGTGAGACTTCCAGAAGTGCCTATTTCTTTCAGAGCCTAAAGGGGGAACAGTCGGGTGGCTGATTCCATTTCAGATACCTGCATTTTAGATGCCTAAGGGCACATAAATTCTGCTTCTAGGGGTAGAGATTATAAATTATTTGGTAACGTTGAAGATAATGCTAGAGGGCCTTCTAAATGCTTGTATAATGTACAGGATATTCTAACTACAGCAAAAGCGTGGGGAAGGCTAAAGAGATGTGAGGGTGTGCATACAGGCTCAGGCATACAGATGGTGCACATACAGTCCTAGAACTAGAATTGTGTTATTTAACAGAGCCAACCCAAACTTCAAGAACTCTTGAGGTCAGCATGAGTGATGGAACACCTCAGAGGGGATGGGGCCTGGGCAGTCAGCTGTGGGAAACCAAGAGAAGAGAATACAGAGGTGCTGTCCAGCGAGAGCCAAGTAACAGCAGAGAGCTAGCCCCTGTCTTCATTCATCCTCAAGTCCAGTGTGCTGGGTTAACGGCAGTGCTGTCAGAGTGCTGAAAAAAATTGTGCCGTAGGGATTGGCAGAAGCTACCTGCCTGAGGAATGGAGTGTGCACTGGTATATAGCTAGGACCCGTTCATCCAGCCCATCCATCTTGCTGTGGTTGTCTTTCTAGCTTGCAGAAAGACATCCCTACATGTCCCAGTTGCTTGTTTGCAGCATTCATAATAGCTGAGTTGTTGGTGATGGTGATAGGCAAGTTGATGGGAGACTTTTTCCAATTGACTTGGTCTGTGTGGTGGACATTTGTGTATTACTACTATGGTGAAGGGCTTCCACATCTTACGCTGCCAGACAAGTGCTTCCCATTGGCAGGTTCACTAACATTCATTGGTCAGACTCCCCAGAAGCACCTCAGGCCATCATTCAGGAGACACCTCTGGTGCCCCAGACATTTCTAGAAGAAAAAAATTTAACACGACATCTTTATTTCTTTTCTCCCTGCATTATGGGATCACCATTCCCCTTTCATATCACTGCCCCCCTACTCTCATGTGGATGGCCATCATTACTGCATCTGTCCAGAATGCAGGAAGCAGCATCCTATGAGATCTAGACTAATGGTGCTCCACAAATTGCTTGTAGGAAGCAACCACTAGCCCCCTAAGCCTGCTGAAGTCTTATGCGCAATTAAATTGTTCTTCCTTCTTGTTTGCAGTGCGTAAGCAAGAGATCATTAAGATAACAGAGCAGCTGATAGAAGCCATCAACAATGGAGATTTTGAGGCTTATACGTAAGTACAGACGTCTTCTGACAGGTGGTTTATTAGTTCCTGTGCAAGTGTTGTTCTGGCTGCTGGGTATGAATTGTTGTCATGCACTCAGGGATGGTGGAAAGTTGTACGCTTTTTAGCCTCCATCAGTGAGGAGTAGAGACATGGTAGAGCTCTCTAAATGAACATCAAGTAGAAGTCAGGAGTAAAACAGCAACAGGAGCAACAAAAGGAAAATGTCCTGGCTTTGTAAGAAAAATAGGGGAAAGGGCAGTGAGATGGGCAGAAAGAAAATAAAAGAAAACCAGAAACCTAAAGGCTTGTTTTATGTGAAATGCCAACTAGCACCAACTCTGTTGTTGCAGTAGGACTGAGTCCTCCAGGAGCTTACTCCTTAAAGTAGAGAAATAGGTGGACACAGGGTGTGAGTCAAACACGGTAGCAGCACTTCGTTTTGTAAATAGCCCTTGGGCTCAAATGCAGACTGTAAGCCTGTGGTGCTTTTCTTTGCAGAAAAATCTGTGATCCTGGCTTGACCTCATTTGAACCTGAAGCACTGGGGAACCTGGTTGAAGGAATGGATTTCCATAAGTTTTACTTTGAGAACTGTGAGTGGGTAGAATTGGTAACACCAACAGCTTTCACTCTAATCTTCCTTTTTGCCACATTTTGGGAGGAAAATTGCCCTTGTTTTTACTGGCTATCAGAACCAGCAAGAACTTCATTTTGCATGGGTTATGATGCATTTAGAAGAACCAGCATGATTTCTCTCAAAAACCTTTTCAACAACAATTTAAATTCTAACCCCCAGATCCCTTCACTGTAGGCATACAATTTGTCTGGTGCAAATGTTTTGTAAGCATGGGCTGCAGGAGTGTTAAAAGTTTGGGGCACTGGATTTCCTACTGATATGGAAATGGAAAAAAATGAGTATATTTGATGGAAACAACATGTGTATTTGTAGTAGACATACTGAAGGGTCAGCCATAAAAATAGCCATGCACAAATCAGTCATGCCTTCAGTTTTCCCTGGATGGTTTCAGATCTCTAACGCCTAACGAACCTGTTATGTGGATACAAGGGTCACCTTGTCAGCCTGGGGTGGGAAAGAGAGTTGGGAGGAATGCTATCATTTACACTAGTGGATTTGCCTCCCTTCTTGTATGTCTCCACAGGATGAATTAATTGAAATTTAAATCTTGAGCTGTTCAGTTTGTTTTATTTTGGGAGTTAGGTCAAGGTCCTTAGTATAGGCAATTCTTAGTGCTTTAAGTACACAAAGCCTATTCCGGAGTGATTTTTACACTTCTTTGAGGCTCGTTCGTATTTAATGCAGGCCTAGGTTAAAGATCTCCTGATTATTGACTCCTTTGTAATAATTCTGTAATTAAAAGATCTTTTCCTGTAACTGAAGAAATAGCAGCCCTGATGAAAATGTGGCAAGTATGCTTTGCAGAAGAAGTGGGAGCAAAGGGGCCAGGGTATTGTAGGCAATAATAAGTGTGCAGTTCCTAAAGAGAAGAACAGGTGATGGGGAAAGAATTACTTGGATGTTGCCTGGAAAATTGCAGGAGCAATTTTTATTGTACCCCAGAATTCAGTGGAATGTGAGTAGAATACAAAAGAGGTAGGAGGATTCTGGGGCCTGTTGCTTTTTAGTAGTAAAATGAAGCTGATGGATCTGTATGTTCTGCCAGTACTGTCGAAGAACAGCAAACCAATACACACCACCATCCTGAACCCCCATGTCCATGTCATTGGTGAAGATGCTGCCTGCATCGCGTATATCCGCCTGACACAGTACATCGATGGCCAAGGTCGGCCCCGTACCACGCAGTCTGAAGAGACCCGCGTCTGGCACCGCCGAGATGGCAAGTGGCTGAATGTCCACTACCACTGCTCTGGAGCTCCTGCAGCACCTCTCCAGTGAGGATCAAATACAGGTATGGATTGCAAGGGAAAGCATACATCATACACACAGCAAAGGCTGCTGTATGTGGGAATTCAGCATTCAAGGTTGTTTAGCTGGCTGTGGGAGAACTGGTTTTAGTTGCCTGTAGGCCAAAAACTTCTGCAGATCAGTTGGTGTTCCTTTCTCTATGTTCTGTCCTCTGGACTCAGTAGGATTACCTGCCTGATGAATTGGAGTCATGTGCCAGATGGTTGTTCTGAGCTTAGCTACCCTAATAGCAGCAGTGCTTCCTCCCATGTACTTAGGTCTTTCTCAGACAGAGTGCTAATCCAGAGCAGAGAGGAAGAGTATCTCATGCTATGCGCAGGTTTGCTGTTTCCCAGCTGTCAAGGAAAGGGATCTATCTTTACATGCTGGAGGTGATTTCAAAGAATTTTTTTTATGAGAATGTCCTATTCTAAGAAAGGATATTGTAAAATCTATACAGAAAAAATTCTACTCCACAAGGGTAAAGATGTCATATAAATTTTACTACTGATTTTCTGATTAGTAGAAGGTATTTAGTGTATAATGCTGAGAAAACTCAAGGAAGAAAAAAAATCTAAACAAATGATAACATCAGGGGATTTAAAATATCCCCAGTTAGCTTGCCACAATTTGGCACTGGAGGAAACTTCAGGTATAAAATTTGACTTGAGGAAATGATTGTTGCTTGCTCCTGAAGGACAGCAGATCCATTTACTTCTGCAGCATTTAGGCACTCATGTTTATCGCCTTTCTGTTTTCTTTTAGTTAGATATACAAAGTCTTTTTCTACCTCTTTTTGTTTTATGTTGAAATGTATGTCACATTCATTTTAAAGATCCAAGTTTCTTAATGTTAGGGCCTTTTTACTAAAGATTTTCTATTCAAGGGGAAACAAAAAAATCTACACCTGAGAGGCAAGCTTTTTTTTGATGTGCTCATTTGAGGATGAACTATTCAAGTGTACTTACTATTCGAGTCCTAGTGCTGCATGCTACTTGAGCAGTAAGAGCAGTTTTTATTCGTACATGTTGTGAGGGATTCAACCCTATTCAAGGCAGTGGAAAGGAATGTGAACTATCACAAACAAACTGCAGACGTCACAGATGGAATTTGAAAAGCAAAAGCTAGTTGGGGGCACCAGAAGCAGGGAAGCCTTCAAGAGAGCTGGACCATCAGCTGAATTTCAAGGGAGTAAGGCAATGAGAAGGATAAAGCCTTTGCAGGGAAACAAAACATAACTTACTTGCATCAGTTTTCATCAGAGACATTGAGGGAAACTTCTGTCATGGATTTAATAAAAAAAAAAAAGGCAGAAGAAATTATTAAAGATCAGTATGGCTCAGTGGCTATGCCTAGGAGTTCTGAGGAAGCTTACGAATCGAGAGTCACAGCTGCTACAGAAGAGGTATGTTTCATTGACTTGGCTGCTGAAACATTGCATCTCCTCCAAAAGTATGTGCTGGAGGGTTTCTGAAAATTGCAGAGCAGAAGCCATTTCCAAACCACAAAATGTTGGCTTAAAGAGCATTTTAAAAACCCCATAAACTATATTGAAGCTGAAATATTTGCATGCATTTCTGGGTTCTGAAGGAGGTGTAACCATGTGCAATTACGAGTGGGGTCAGTGTGGGCAGCCCCCATATGAACACACCAAATCATTTTGGAGCACCATTGGCCCATGTGCAGTAAAGGGTAAGGATGTAGAATGACTGGGGTGAATAAGAATGCTTAAACATAAATGAGTGGTTTGTTCTCACCTGGAAGGAAGAGTTCAGTTTTGAGTAAGTCAAAGGAAAGTGCTGCCGTAAAAGAAGTTTGAGGTTGATCAGAAGACTTCCATGTAAGGAAAAAATTGTGGGGGGGGGGAGGGGAAAAAAGGCTGTTTAAATATTAAGAACATAAGACAAAATTTCTGAAGACTTAAAGAGAAACAAACCAAAAAAACACCAAAGAAAACCTTTCAGTTCAAGGCAAAAGCCAATGGGAAGTGAGGCAGAAATTATTCCTTAGGATCGTAGCCTCAGGAACGCCTTGGAAAACTGCTTCAACTTCTGCCCAGGTCTGCTCCAATCACACAAGTAACTGATTTTAGCAAGTAGTTTATTATCACTGGAGGGAAAGTGCGTGCCTCCTGTCTTCAGGGCTCCCCTCACAAGCCAAATCTGTGTTGTGATAAGAAGGGTTTCTGCCTGCACCAAATAGTTAGCCTGTAGAAAATTTGTTGCATTAATTGTGTACAGCTAATGTTTGGCTTTATTTCCTTCCATCTTCCATCCTGTTCTTCCCTCTCCTTTCTGGGCGGACACTACCGCTTCCTGACTGCAGCAACTTGTGGAGATACTCAGCTGGAGGGCAATATCTTCTTAGCAAGCAGCTCTGGAGTGCCTGAGTGACAGCAACGGTCATGTCTGTTTTGACGTTAAAAAAATAAATACAAATTACAAACAGGCAGCAGCCAAATGCACGAAACCCTGCATGCATCTGATGCTCCGGGCGCTGCCTTTCTGTTGTTTTCCATGGATCCATCGTGTCTGTTTCTGCTGTACGAAGGTGTTTTTAAAATCTAAAAAAAAAAAAAAAAAAAAGGAAAAAAAAAGACATGTTGTTTGTATAAAATAATAAAGAACAGGAATAATGCTAAATAAATGACAGATTATCCAACGTGCCCCTTCCCCCAGGGCTAAGGAAATGGCAGCAGCTGGAACATCTTTCAGAAATTAAGTGAGGGGGAAAGCAAAAGTGAAGGAGAGAGAAAGAGAGAGGGAGAGCGAAAAAGGAGGCAGCTTGAGCAGCGGATGGCTGAACGGTGCTGCGCAATGCCATGGTGGAAGGTAACATCACGTTCAGGCTGTGCTGCTACTTCAATCGGTGAGAGATGGCGAGGAGGAGACCCCAGAGGAGCCAGTGTGAAGACTGGGGTTCAAGAGAGAGGAGGTGCTTCTCCTCCTGTTGCCCAGCAGACTGACTTCAGCCTGCTGCTTCTTCAATTTCTGCACAGCAAGAACGCTACGGAAAGCTGGTTGCTCGGCTGCTGGATCCCAGAACAGACTGTCTTTTTAGTTTTGTTTTTCTTGTTTTCTTTTTTTTTTTTTAATTAGGAAAAAAACCCAACAGTGGGATGCTGATTTAAAATTAAAGGTGGAAGTAGGAATTACAAAAAATGGGTTTAAGTGAATATAATTTAAATAGAAGCTTGCTCTTCAGAGATACTGGTTTTAGAAACAGCCACTACCTGGCCAAACATGGAGGTTTGAAGCCAGCTTATTTAATTTAATGGAACAAAAAAAGCATTGCATTAAGAGCGGAGATTTTAGAGGAAGAGGGTATATGTATGGGATTTTCTATTTTTTTTTCCTTTTTAATAGCATAGTTGGGATCCACAGTGCTGCAGAACACGTGTTCCTTAGGAAGCAGACAAAAACCTTAGTGTTATGTTCTTCATGAAAACTTGCACATACACTCCTATATGAGGCATAAATAGCGTGTGTTTTTTATACTGAAATATATGCACCCATAGAATTAAAGGGGTTACCTGGCCTCCTGTTTGATTTGTTTGGTCTCCGAGTAAAACAGCAGTTGGAGCCAGCAGCCCCAGCCAGGTGCTTCTACCCACCACTAACCCATCTGATGTTTGTAAGTGTCATGTTTCCTAGTGTTTATTTGGGTAATTTTTCTATTTTTTACAGTGATGTTGTAACACAGAAAACTATCAGATCAGAGCCTCAAAAACCATAGTGGAAGGACTCCAGGCCACGTCCCTGTGTTGCCTCTGGCTGTTAGGAGGATACCTCATGAAGCAGAGGGGAAAGGGAATTAGCACATGTGATCTGATACTTGTCCTTTGGGCCAATTCATCTTCCTTTCTTTTCTTTGCTGCAAAAGGAGTTCAGTTCCTTTATTCATGGGTGGGGAATGTGAAAGTGTTTTGTTGACCTTATCAAGGAGGGATCCTAGCCCCAAAAAGAAAATGGCCTTTCTGGTGGACTGTGGTAGGAATTGTTTTGACCAAGGGAAGGCATCACTTGCAGAAGTTGGGATAGGCTTTTACCTGAATTTCTGTCTACCCCCATTCATTTTTTTGGATCTTTCAAGGGAGTTAAAGAGATTACATTGACAGCATACTAAGTGTGAGGCAACCTTTTTACAGACTACGGAAGAGAAAAAAGCCAATTTGGAATTTTAATCCTTATTTAATAGAATGCAGAAAATAAAAGCTGTTGCACAAAGTGGAGCTGTCGCATTGCAACAGATAGCACCCCTCTACCAAAAGGAGCAGAGCTATCCCGCACCAGGATTAGATCAGCTAACCCACGATGCAGGAAAAGACCATCCACACTTCCCAGTTTTGTCTGAGCAGATACCCTTTTCTTCCTCCACCACCCCAGGGAGGAGTGTAGGGTTGAACCCATGGGGGGCAAACACTAGATTTTATTATTTCGAACCATTTTTAGGACAGCACTAAGCCAGTGAGTGAAGTGGAAAAGTTAAAAGCCTTGATATTTTATTCAGATTTTTTTATTTTAAGCCACAAAGAGAGAGCAAACAGGAGATTACAATTAATGCCATTTAAAAAAGATAAATACAAACCAATATGCATGCCTTCTTTAGGTCTGATCTTACTTGTCTCTTTACCTGATGATTATTAATACTCAAAAAGAACCCTCTGTATTAAGTATCTGCATCTTTCAGAGAAAATTTTAAAAGAACAGAACTGTTTTTTGGTTTTGCACAGTCTTGGAGACAAACTCTCTTTTGGGGTTTTTTTGTTTGTTTTGTTTCCTTTTAAGTTAATGAGAACCTTAGCTTGGTATGGCCATTATCAAACACAGCTGTACACCTTTAGCATTCTTAATGTTCTCTTATGGGGCTAATATAAGCATCTATATAATATATATTATAAATATCACATTTTAAACAGGAAATGGAAGGCATTTGATGCAGAATTTTTGCATGATATAGAAATAATTAAAGTTAGCTAGTGTTTGTTTGTTTGGTCTGAATGTTGGTAGAACCTTCATAGCTTTGTTACAATGAAACCTTGAACTGAAGATATTTAATAAAATAACATTTAAACAGTGCGAAGTTTTGAGTGTCACATTTTACTCTGAAACCAAGTAACAATGTGGAATTGGCACTTATGGGATAAGAATCAATCCACAAAACCTTTTTTTGTGTCAGTAAATCGCGTGATTTAAAAATGTCGTGTTTAAAAAGAAAAAAAAGGTAAGTGGTACCATAACGACAAGAATACCAGCATTAGTAAAGACAGAGGGACAACAGAATCTGATAAAATGAACTTTATGGCATTTCCCTGACAGACCGTGGGAAAATAGGGAAATGTTTCTGCTCCTGGTAGCTTAACCCTTGGCAAATGCATGCTGTTATGACCTTTCTTAGTCTTTGTTTTCCTCACCAGTATTTCAACTCTGTGGGAGAAGCTGTCTTGCCATTAGGTTTGCCTGATGTAAACATGCTGAACTCCAGTTGCATGGCAGCTCTTACATTTGTGAGGTAGCGTATTTTTTGTCCTTATTTAAAGGAACAGACCAACCACTCACAGGTACAAATTTGCCTCCTCTGTTAAGAAATCATGTGTAGGCTGCTAGAAGTTGAAAGTTGGCTGGATTTAGCCTGTTTGGTTTCCACACTGACTCTTGTGAAACATGTCATTTGTGCTCCCTTTGGTAGGCTTTGTTCCACTCAGGCCTTTGCTGCTTTGGCATTTTTCTTTCCTACCTTGCAGTGTTCGCACTGCTCTCCTAAGTGAGAGCCTGTAGTGTGTGCTGCTCTCTCCTGCTGAGACCCCTGCCCAGCTGGGCTGGGGAGCATGGCTGTCAGTGGGACACAGACCCCTGCATGCTTTCCTGCATCTCCTGCTACCACCGGCTTTGTGGCAGCTCAGCGTGGGTCGGGTCTGGCACAGTTCCTGCAGGGGTATGTATCTTGGTTTGGTGCTGAGGGCTCTAGCTAGCATTTGTGCCCCAGTCTGGCAGGCTTGGCTGGCCTCCCGCTCCCCTGAGGTCTTTCTCAGGTGCATCTGGGAAATGATGCAGGTGGGAGGTGGTGGCTTTCCCTTATCAGGAAAGAATTCAGTTGTGCTTAATCCCCTTTAACTGCAGCAATTACCTAGCGAATAGGTGTCAGTTGGTGCTGCTTAAAGAGATGATTGCTTTCCCTGTCTGATGAAACAGAGGAAAATTGTCCTTAGTGTTTAAAGGGAGAAGGTAAGAGTTTTACAGCCCACTTCACTGGGACTGAAGACAATCTGTTCACAGTCAGAGGAGATAGCTCCTGCTATTACAGTAGCAAAGAGAGATTCTGCTATCATTTCTAACATCCAAGGCAGCATCATTTACCAGGTAAGGTCTCTCCTGAAGCAATTAATCATATCTTAATGATCTTTGAAGAAATATTGCAGTAGGATCTCATATGCACTAGGAAGATACCCATAAAGTTAGTGATGATTTCCCATGTTCTTAGTAGCTTTTTTAACCAGGACAAGAGTAATTGATTCACTTATGGAAAGCACAATAGTCAGACTAATGCTTATGTCAAGAATATTTATGTAGCATATATATGGGCACTTTCAGTCTGTTCCTGCGTACGTGTGTGATTTAAGTACATTTTTTAAAAAGGTGATGGTGTCCTATTTAAGCTGTACTGTATGTGCCTTTCCCACTTGCAAGTCCTCTGTTAGTTTTGGGCAGGGGTACTGAAAAATGGGATAGAATCTGCTCCTAAAAGGGTTCCTGTCTTGAGCTTTTTTATGTTTCAGCTGACAGCAGGGATTGGGAATGGTACTTATCTGCAGTATGACAGCTCCAAGCTGAGCTATCACGCAGCAGTATTTCCAGAAATGTATTTTCCAGTATGCTCTGTCTGGTTAAAACCTGCTCATCCTATTGGATGGCATTTTGCCATCTTCCTACCCTAAAAGAAGTGTCTGAGAGTGGTTTTCTGAGTGTCATCATCCCCGTTCCCTCCCTGATAGATGCACAAGCATGCTTGTATACATACGTTGATTACTCTGCAGGAGACCTGATTGATAGAAGCTTTTATTTGTGCCCAAATCAGATTTCCCTTTAAACTAGGCTTGGTTTGCTCTCACTTGCAGGGCTAGCGGCACAAAGTCTGCCAGGATGCTTTTATGATGTAGTATGTATGAGATGTGGAGAGAAACATGAGCAGAATTAGACCTCGAATGTCGATATCCCTTCCAATTTATTATGAACACTGTTGCCTTTTATTTATGTGTAACTGATAACATAGATAAGTGGACAGAACATTTGACCAGAGACCAGGAGATCTGTGATCTCTATCTGGTTTTGCTATGGCTTTGCAGGGTGACTGCAGATGAGCCACTCATGTGCTTCAGCTTTCCCATTTTTCCATGTAGATAATGAGACTGACCTCTGTAGAAACTGCTGAAAGAGACTGATGAGCAGTGATGCAGAGCAGCTGGGTAGTATTGCGGCTACACATCACAGATAGCTTCCTCCTTTCCTCCCCACCTCAAGAATTTGAAAGGTTTGGGACTGCAGAGTGATGCACCTGGAATGCTTGTTTATTTGAGATTGGTATAAGTTTACTTGAGAGTTAGGAAAGATGGTCCTTGGGGCACTTAAAGTGGCTTGAGTGGAAGGTTATGAATTTTTCCCTTGGGATCCTTAGTGCCTGAGAACTCCTCACCTGCAGGAATG